TGAGCCTGGCTGTGTCCTGGGGCTGAGAGGGCAGAGTCAGAACTCCAGAATGCTGGTTCAGTGTTTGACACACAATAAAAGGCTGCTCCTGCACAGGACATGAGTCTGGTTCCCTGGGAACCCAACGCCTGCTTTTGGCCTCTGCCAGCACCAGGCAGGCATGTGGTGCTCAGACATCATACATACATAGAGATGAAACAGCCATACACATGCGTATGGTGCTCAGACATCATACATACAGATGAAACAGTCATACACAAATAAATAAACAAGAAAAATAAGTGAAAACCAAAACATCAGCTCGTCTGTTAGAATAGATTTTATTAAAAAAAAAAATTGTGAACCAGGTGTGGTGGCATATGCCTATAATCTCAGACTTCAGAGATGGAGGCAGGAAGATCAGGAGTTCAAGGCCAGACTCAGCTACATAGAAAATCTGAGGTCAGCCTGGACTCAGGAGGCCATGCCTCAAACAATAACGATAACAAAGCAACAACTAAAAATCAACCCAAAATGATAGATAAGTGTTGGCTGGGTCACCAGGGGCCGGATCCTCCGGGCACGTTGAGCGGGAATGTATGATTTAGGAGCTATCTAGAAAGAGTGAGGTTTCTCAGAGGATTAGAAAGAGTTCCACATGGGCCAAGGATCAAGGCTATGGGTGTGAACTAAGGAATTTAAATCAAGAGGCTGGAGAGATGGCTCAGCAGTAAAGCACGCTCACTGCTCTTCCAGAGGACCAGAGTTCATATCCCAGAACCCAGACGGTGGCTCAAAACCACCTGTGACTCCAGTTCCAGGGGTTTAGATCTGGTTTCAACCGCACACCAGGAGTCTGCATAGACTTACATGCAGACAAAATAACCTTCCACATAAAATAAATAAGCAAAATCTTTTTTATGTGAAATCTTTTTACCGTGTGTGTTTTGAAACAGGGGTTCTCTGTGTAATCGTGGCTGTCCTGGAACTCGCTCGGTAGACCGGGCAGGCCTTGAATTCACAGAGATCCACCTGCTTCTGCGTCCCAAGTGCTGGGATTAAAGGAGTGTGCCACCACTGCCTGGCACAAAATAACGGTTAGGCAGCATGTGCATTTCATGCGCTCTGCGGTGCCAGGCGCAGCGGATTAGCACCAGTGAGTGATGTGCGGTTGGGAAAGTGTTCAGAGAAAGACAAATGGTAACAACAACAAAAGAAAAACCAGAAAACTAAGCCCAAAACCCCAAACAGCAATAACACAAACAAGAGCAACGCTTGCGGCCCACCCCTCCAGCCGCAAGACCCTGACATTTGTTTTATTTCTATTTTTTAAACAAATTTAAATGCTAAGTATGGAAATAAATAGAAAAATATATGACTGATTGTCAGAAGATAAGTTAAAATTGAATTACCCAGAATTTACTCAGACAATGAAGTTAGTAGATAAGTACATTAAAACAGTAATGACCACTTCAGTTTTTGGAAGTTACAAGAAAAATTGGATGTATTAAGAAATGTAGATGATCTGGGAGGGAGGATCAGGGATTTCACCCAGAGCCTTGAGCACACAAAGTAGGTATCCTACTACCTGAGCTACATTCCACAGCCCATGAGACGTAGAAGACTTTTTCTAAAGACAGGGTCTTGTTCTGCAGTCCTTGCTGGTCTGGAACTCACTGTGTAGACCAAGCTGTCTCAAATACACAGATATCTGCCCACATCTGCCTCCCCAGTGCTGGGATTAAAAGTGTGTACCACACGTGGGCACAGGAGACCACTTCCTATGTATAACCCCAGCAGCACAGACTTTAAGGGCCTCATTGAATAAATGGGACCTCCTGAGACTGAGAAGCTTCTGTAAAGCAAAGGACACTGTCACTAAGACAGAAAGGCAATCCACTGACTGGGAGAAGATCTTCACCAACCCCACAACTGACAAAGGTCTGATCTCCAAAATACATAAAGAATTCAAGAAACTAGACCGTAAAAGGCTAATCAACCCAATTATAAAATGGGGCACTGAGCTGAACAGAGAATTCTCAACAGAAGAAGTTCAAATGGCCAAAAGACACTTAAGGTCATGCTCAACTTCCTTAGCGATCAGGGAAATGCAAATCAAGACAACTTTAAGATACCATCTTACACCTGTCAGAATGGCTAAAATAAAAAATACCAATGATAGCCTTTGCTGGAGAGGTTGTGGAGAAAGGGGTACACTCATCCATTGCTGGTGGGAATGCAAACTTGTGCAACCACTTTGGAAAGCAGTGTGGCGGTTTCTCAGGAAATTCGGGATCAACCTACCCCTGGACCCAGCAATACCACTCTTGGGAATATACCCAAGAGAGGCCCTATCATACAACAAAAGTATATGCTCAACTATGTTCATAGCAGCATTGTTTGTAATAGCCAGAACCTGGAAACAACCTAGATGCCCTTCAACGGAGGAATGGATGAAGAAAGTATGGAATGTATACATATTAGAGTACTACTCAGCAGTAAAAAACAATGACTTCTTGAATTTTGCATACAAATGGATGGAAATAGAAAACACTATCCTGAGTGAGGTAAGCCAGACCCAAAAAGAGGAACATGGGATGTACTCACTCATATTTGGTTTCTAGCCATAAATAAAGGACATTGAGCCTATAATTCATGATCCTAGAGAAGCTAAATAAGAAGGTGAACCCAAAGAAAAACATATAGGCATCCTCCTGAATATTAACCTTCATCTGGCGATGAAAGGAGACAGAGACAGAGACCCACATTGGAGCACCCGACAGAAATCTCAAGGTCCAAATGAAGAGCAGAAGGAGAGAGAGCACGAGCAAGGAACTCAGGACCGCGAGGGGTGCACCCACACACTGAGAGAATGGGGATGTTCTATCGGGAACTCACCAAGGCCAGCTGGCCTGGGTCTGAAAAAGCCTAGGATAAAACCGGACTTGCTGAACATAGCGGACAATGAGGACTACTGAGAACTCAAGAATTATGGCAATGGGTTTTTGATCCTACTGCACGTACTGGCTTTGTGGGAGCCTAGGCAGTTTGGATGCTCACCTGCTAGACCTGGATGGAGGTGGGCGGTCCTTGGACTTCCCACAGGGCAGGGACCCTGATTGATCTTTGGGCTGATGAGGGAGGGGGACTTGATTGGGGGAGGGGGAGGGAAATGGGAGGCGGTGGCGGGGAAGAGACAGAAATCTTTAATAAAAATAAATAAATAAAATAAAAGTGTGTACCAGCTCACTGGCCCTGACTTTTTCCCTCCGTTCTCATTCTCTTTCTGTCTCTTTGTCTCTCTGTCCTTCGTGTGTGTGTGTGTGTGTGTGTGTATCTGTGAGTGTGTATCTGTGAGTGTGTAGTGTGGATGTATCTATATCTTTGTGTGTGTATCCCTGTTGAGTGTGAGTCTGTGTGTATCTGTGGGTGTATCTCTGTGTGAGTGTGTATCTGTGTGTGTGAGTGTGTATGTGTGTGTAACCATGTGTACCTGCATGCCACGGAACATATACAAGGTCAGAGGACAACCTTTGGTACTTGTTTCTCTTCTTCCACCATGTGGATTCTGGGGAGTGAATTCAAGCCGTCGGGTTTGGTCACAGGCTCCTTTTCACACTGCCAACCAAGGTCCTGCATTTGACAGAAAATATGAAGAATTTGTCTTTTTGAGTCTGCTTGTTCACTAACATGGTAATTTCCAGTGGCATCCACGTTCCTGAAAATGTCATGATTTTATCTTTCTTTTTAAATGTATTGTTATTGTTATATTACTAATTATATACTAATGTGTGTGTATGATGTATACACACGAGTGTGGGAGTGTGTGTGCCAGGTTGCACAATGCTTTGTGCATACGTGGGGGCTGGAAGACAACTTTTGGGAGTTGTTCCTCTCCTTCCACCATGTGCTCTAGGGTTAGAACTTAGGTTTTCAGGCCTTGGAGGCGAACATTTTACCCGTTAAGCCATCTTACCAGCTGTGTGTGTGCCTGTGCACAGGTGTCTGCACAGATGTGGAGGCCAGAGGATCTCCTCTTTAATAGCTCTGTGATAGGCTGTCTTCTTTCACGGAACCTGGAGCCAGATTGGCCAATGAGCTTCGAGGCCTCGCCTGTCTGCTTTCCCTGGGCTATGTCTGAAATGCACAGCTCCTGGCGTTTTACACGGGTGCTAAGATCCAAACTCGGGTCACTACGCTAAGTGCTCTTACTCCAAAGAGTGCTTACAAGAGATTAAATGAGCGAGTGTATCTGGCAGGTGTAGCTGCTGCTATTATTGCTGTTTTTGAAGATGCTCCCTCTGCGTTTGCTGAAGATATAAGCGATGGAAGAAGGAACCGAGAGATGCAGGGCGTAGAGTATATTCAGAGAATACTGAGTAATCCCATCTGTCAGAACAGTAATAGCCTTATGGGTGCATGTTGAGAAGTTTTAATGTCACAATAAAGAGTGTGTATCTTGTTTGGTAAGCAATAAGAAACAATGACAGAATTTGTCAGTAGTTGGAAGAAAGGGCCAAAGAAAGAGAAGGTAAACCAGGAGAGAAGGCACGTGCAAGATGAGGAGAGGGTTACAGGTGGCGTTTCCGAATGTGTGTGTGTGGGGGGGGGGTGTCAGAAGAGACCATGACAGAGACATATGGGAAGGAGGGTACAGGGAGAAGAAGGGCTTAAGAAGGAAGTACCATGGCTATGTAGAGGATGGAATCTGGGGTCAGGTGAGGGTAAAGGAGTAATGGGGATATTCTGGGAATCGGGGGAGATAAAAGGTGATGGAGACAAGTGAGGTTTCTGGGGACAGGTAAGGAGCCTGTGGGCAAGTGAACTGCATAGATGAGTTAAGAAGCCCCTGTAGCTCTTACAGGATCATCTGAGAGTGCTCAGGCAGGACACGGGGGGTGGGGTGGGGGGACAGAGTGGAACGTGATGTCAGAAAAATGGCAGTGATGTAAGGGCTGGGCGGTGGGGCGGTGATGTCAGGGCTGGTGCTGATGCTGGCGGCGCAGTGCATTGTGGGCAGCTCCCCACTCCGCTGCTACTGCTGCTGCTGCTGCTGCTACTGCCGCTGCCGCCCGCCGCCACCGTCGCCCGAGAAGGATCGGGGTCGGGCCGGGCCGGGATGGTTGGGGTCGGGAGGCCGCCGCCGCCGCGGGAGAGAGTGGGCCGCCCAGCGCCGCACTGAGCCGCCCCCGCCCCGCCCCGGCCCCGGGGGATGCGCCGCCCCGTGCCGCTGTCTTCACCGCCGCAGCCGCAGCCGCAGCGGACACCGAGCAGGTGAGGCGGGGCGGGGCCGGGCAGGCGGGCTGGGGTCCCTTCTGGGGTTCAGCGGGCCTCCCGCCGGGCTCACCTCCATGGCTCGGCTACCATCCAGCAGCGGTCTTCGCCACCGCCGCCAGGAGATGGGACGCTGGCCTACACTGCCTGGGCCGCAGCCTGAGGCCTGGAGCCGCTCCCTGCCCCCCCCCCCCCCGCAAAGACCCACCCTCCCCAGCCCATCCTTCTTGCCTCCCCCACAGCCCCTCCCCCAGCCCTCATCCCTATGATTTCCCTCCTCACTCTCCTGTCAGCTCTGACAGGTCACCCAGCTGTCTCTAGACCCTCACTCCCATCCCCAGTTCCTCTCTTCCACCCACCAGCCTCCCTTTTCTTTCTCCAACTGTGCCCAGAAGCCCGTCCCATGGTCCTGTCGCTCCATCACTCCCTGCCACCATGATCTCCTGTCTCTTGTCTACCTACCCCCTCCCCTCATCCTGTCACTCCACTCCGACAGGCCCTGTTCCCTGCACTCTCCTTTTTTCTCCTGTTCCCATCGCTCCTCATGGCTTTGCCTCTCCTGTCCTGGCCCCTAAGATTCCTTAAACCTTGCATAGCCACACATCAACTCTTCTGTTTCCACACCACGATATGCTTCTAAACACTTACCTCTCTCTGTCTCTCTGTCTCTTTCTCTCTCAGTCTCTACTTACCCCACATTCTCATGCATACACACAGGCATGCCTACACACACACACACACACACACACACACACACACACACACGGGCCTCATAGGACAGTAACCAAGCAGCCAAGCTTGTCAACCCAGTCTGGGATAACTTGGGTCCACGGGGGCATCCTCTGGGAAGGGTGGTGGATAGAGTGGCCAGGTCTTTCCCCCTCCACCAATTCCAATTTTCCCAAGTATCAAGTGTGAGCCGCAGACAGATTGTCCTCATCCACCTGCAGAGACTACCAGACAGGACTGAGGTCCCTCCAACTCTTTGACTTTTTAAAATTATTATTATTTTTTTCAGTACTGGGAACTGAATGTAGGACCTTGTGCTGATTGAGCTATATGGAGATATCTCAAATGCTGACTGAGATACAGCAAGATCTCTCAATCCCCCTTTGGAGTCCTTTTATTCACTTTGTGTGTGGAAGGTGTATGCATGCCACTGTGCACACTTGGCGGTCAGAGGACAAGTTGCAGGGGTCTGGTTCCCTCTTTTCAACACACAGCTATCAGGAATCAAGCTCAGGCTATCAGATTAGATAGTGAGGGTCTTTTCCCACAGGACTGCCTTTGCAGGTCCCAGCCCCTTTTTATTGAAAGTACATTTTTGGTGGTGTTGGGAGTTGAAGCTGGTGCCTTGACCATGTTGGACATGTACTCAAACACTGAGTTTCCTCCCCAGCCTGAATTTAACTTTTTCCCTTTCCCCTGTGCTGGGGCTGAGGCTGGGACCCATAGCCTCCTCCACACAAGGATTAAGCTGCAGCCCAGTTCCAGGGGAGGCCCCCTCCACACAAGTTTGATTGCTTCTCCAGTCTTTTTTGCTTAGTTGTGGTTCTGTTTTGTTTTCTTGTTTTCAGCCAGGGTATCTTGTAGTCCAGGTTGGCCTTGAACTTGCTGTGTAGACAAGATTAGTCTTGAATCCCTCATCCTCCTGCCCCCCCCCCAGAGTACTGGGGTCACAGGTACGTGGTACCATGCACAGCTGCCCCAGTCTGGTCTCGACCTATATTCCAGAACCCCATTCTGGTTCCTCTTGCCTTGTCATTGTCCTTCCTGCCTTGCAAACTCTTGGTAGCCCATAGCCCTGGCGTTGTGTGGATTGGGGGAAACAATTCAGCTCAGATGTTTCAAAGAAAGATAAAAGGGAGTGGCAATGTCTTTCCCCATGGAGATTCTTTCTCTTCATGTCCCTGGTGGAGAACTGTGACCTGAAGATGTCTCAGGTCCTTTCCAGCCTACCCTGCTCTTGTCAGGGTGTCTAGACGCAGGACCTGAGAAGGACCATCTCAAGAAGTTTTGGGTCCATGAGATAATTAATTATAATGTCATTTCCCCCCATTTACAAAGAAGTTAGCTACAATTAGTAACTGTGGTGTTCTACCCCATTTACAAAGAACTTATCCCCTTCCAGCCTCTCCCGTGCCCAGTCCCCAGCCTGAATGATTTCCTTCACTCCTGTGTGTGGCTCTCCAGCGTCATGGTTAGAGTGTGGCACAGAACACATAGAGTATCTGTAGATGAAAGATGAGAAGATGCTGGTTCCCAGTCCTGGGCTGGCTTGGCAGAAATACCAGAAAGTCACCTTTGCTGGTCCCTTCTCTACACATGTGCACACAAAGCAAGAATCCATTCATACAGAGGGGTCCACGAACACAGCACACACATCTTTGGATAACTTGTGTCTTAGTCCTCTGTCGCTTGGGATACTAGTCGTCTCCCATGTCAGCTTTTATCCACTTAAGCACAGCAGAAGCTGCCTTCCTCCTGGCTGCCTCCACATAGATGTGGAAATGGACTTGCTCACCCCTGCCTTCCCAGACCTGTGGTTCTTTGTCACTCTGCCTCCCCCCAGACAGCATCCACTACTCTGCTCTCCCCAGTTCAGTCTGCCTTGGCCCCTGTGGAGTGGACACTGGGATACCATTCTCTGAAGTCCACAGCTTGAGTCTATGGTCTTGTGGTCACTGTTGGCACATATCCTGGCATACAGACCGGGAAGTCTTGTGGCTGCCAGCGGGGTCAGCCTCCACTCGCTACAATCCATCTGCCTTCATGCCACCCTCAAGGGGCTGTTGTGCATGTCCTTATTTTTCTTGATGGTCACACCTCTCTGGTTAGCTGGCCGGCCACTCTGATGAGGGTATCTCATGGCTTACCCATAGGTCTTTCCCTTCAGCCAACCAGCAAAGCACAGCTCCCCAGGACTTTTGTGACACTGTCTAGGTGTGGATGCTTGGGACCACAGGTAGAATGACTCAGGCTTGTCATTCTTGGGTCTCAGTCTAGGATGCCCACTGGCTAGCACATCTTCCCCTCATTAGTTTGGAATGTCTCTATGGTAAACCCATGGCTTGGTCACACATCACTGCCCTCTCCTGTTTTCATCGTGTGTGTCCTGTTACTGATTTTCACACCTCCCTTCCCCTGACCTCCATCATATCTCCCCCAGCATCAGCTCTCCCCCACCCCAGTCCGCTTAGGAAGGATGCCTGCCAGCAGGATGGGGGTTCTTTCCATAGCTGTCAGGTGGTCTAGGGGGTCCGCCAGGCTGTTTACTGCCCTTCCTCACTCTCCCAGGTAGATGGACCCCCAAGGGCAGGCCCTGCGGACACCCCTCCCTCCAGCTGGCAGATGCAGTGCCTAGCGGCTGCTCTTAAGGACGAAACCAACATGAGTGGGGGAGGGGAGCAGGCCGACATCCTGCCGGCCAACTACGTGGTCAAAGATCGCTGGAAGGTGGTGAGTGAGTGACCTAGCTGGGCAGAGGGAGGGGTCTGGGAAAGGAGAAGCAGAGATCTGGAGACTTCCCAAGACTGGTGCCCTTGGAGCCCTTACCCTAAATGGGAGGTGTCCTCGATCTCCTTTGCATACTGATCAAATGTTATTTTTTGTCCACACATTCTCCCAGTACCCTCTCTCCAACCCGGCTCCCTTTCACCCCTTCCTCGTGTTGGTCCAGCCTAGCCTGAACAACTCCTGGTTGGATGCCTAGGTGTGAGCTGCAGAGCCCATGGTGCGGAGGAGGGTGGTGGGGGAGGGGGCTCCTTCTCTGCCGCACCTTGGGGAAGGACATTGAGTGAGCATGTGTTCCTCCGCTTCCACAGAGGACGGAAAGGCTTGGGTCTGAGGAAAGAGGCCCTTTAGGCTGCTCCCACCGCATCCGCACTCCCTCTTCTCCATCCACCCTCCTCCCTTGCCGGGTTCCTGCGGCAGGTGCAACACGCCGAGACTCCATCTCCCAGCGTGCCCTGTTCCTCCAACCCAGGACTTCAGGCTCCTGGGCCTGCTGGGAGTTGTAGTCCGAGTTTCTTTGTCGGGGGAGAATGATATCCTGGGTGGGAGGGGGCTATGTAAGGGTTGGAGCAGTGGTTGTGTCTAGGGAACCAGACCTACTGCCAGTCAGCCTCGATCAAATCCTTTTTTCTCCATCTCTGTAAAGCACCCTGGTGTCCTCTTTATTGTAGGGCGGGGTGATGTAGGTTGGTATAGTGTGGGAAAAGTGTGTGCGGGGACGTGGGGTCTGCGCGGGGACGTGGGGTCTGCGCGGAAATGGGGATCCAGAGGGGAAGAAAGAACCATAGAGGTCAGATTTGTTTCACTGTATAGAGTTGTGTTCGTGTGTGCGCTTCCCTGGGCTCTGGTGTGGTGAGGCTCAGCTCGCTCACTAGGGCTGCTGGGTTGGAGAGGAGGGTGGGGTCTGGGTGCCGGTGGATCTCCATGGCAACAATCACCCGGCCGCGCAGGTCCTCAAAGGTCCAAGGAGAGCATTTTCAGGAATTGGGAGTTGGGATGTTAGGGAGGAGATTCTTAGGGCCCCCGAAGGGGGATTCCTGAGAGGGAGAGTAACTGGAGGAGCCAGGGCAGCCATAAAAGGAAGGGGTGTTTGGCAAAGTGAGGAGCACCCCTTCAAGACCCCCGGGTCCCTGGCACATGGACTTGGTGTCTGGCAGATGGCAGACTGAATAACATTGTACTGAAAAGGCGAGAAAAGACTGTTCACACACAGAGTTTAGACTAAAGACCTTGTTGTGCTCCATGAAGGATGGAAGTGTACGGGGAGAGAGGAGACAGAGGGAGGGGGAGGGGCCGTGGAGGGGCAAGTACACCAGACCTGGACTGTCCTTCTGTTCCTTCCCAGGAGAGCTAGAGAGACCGGGGAGGGGTGGGGCTGATGTGGGAATGAGGGAATCGGGAATCATGGATCAGAGATGGACTGCAACCAGGAGAAATGGGGGGGGGGGGGGGGTGTCAGTGATTAGGATCACTGTAAATTGTAAATAAATTTCTTTGCCCTAAAAAAACAAAAGATAAAATGAGCAAATTGTTCTCTAGGGGTGATCCTTGCAAGCCACATAACAAACAGCAGAAATAAAAGTCTTATTTTATGTGCATTGGTGTTTTGCCTGCATGTGTGTCTGTGTGAGGGTGTCAGATCTTGGAGCTACAGACAGTTGTGAGCTGTCATGTGGGTGCTGAGTATTTAACCCAGGTCCTCTGGAAGGACAGCCAGTCCCCTTATCCCTGAGCCATCTCTCCAGCCTCTCTGAACACTTCTCATCCTCAGAGGCTGTGAAGGTGTCCTCTGTAGGTTATCTCGGGCACTGATGGAGTAGATACAGCAATTACCAGCACGCCTGTTTCATAGATGTGATTAGCTAACTTGCCAAGTTCTGCGATCAGAAGGCAGGCTGAGGTCTGTCTGCTGCCGCAACACAGTCAGCAAAACTCAGCCCATGCAAGAATTGGAGTCTAGGGGCTGAAAAGGTCTTTGTGGCTTGTTTCAATTCGACTCTCTCTTATTGAGGAGGAAAAGAGGTCCAAATAGTTTTTGAAACTGAGATGACTTTAGGTTGCCCAGAGTGGAGGCAAGAAAAGGGTGTCCATCCCAAATAAACCGAGGCTCCATTGGACTGGGCTTCTTCTCTGCTTTAGGGGGGTCCTTTGATGGGGGTGGGATCATTAGAACATACAGAAGGGGAGAAATGGCCTGAAAGGGTCTGAAGGGGATTCTCTCAAGGGTCTGCCTCGTGGAGTTCATCAGCCTAAGTGCTTTCGGCTCATGACACCTTCTTACTACCTTAGGGTAGTAAGCATTGCATCTTATGGCTTCATTGTTATAGAAAGTAATACATTCATATTCTAGACTGAGTTTTTCTCTGTGGTCCTAAAGTAAATGTATGTTTTGATTGTGAGCCTAGCCGTTAATGGCTAAGCCATCTCTCCAGCCCCACTGTATCTTTTGATGGATAAGCATGCCGTCATTAGGAGCAGGAGGAAAGGATACTGGATGGATGAGTGCCACAACTAGACCCCTGCCTAGGGATGGGTGGCAAATCGGGAAAGAAATGGGCTCAGTTTGAGGAAAAGGCCAATAAAGAAGCCGGGGCCCTGTGAAACTGGGGAGTAGGTGTTAGGTATGTTCCCACCATCAGGGATTTTGGGGGCTTCAGCATCAGCTCCCACACTTGGCAGTGCCAAGTGGACCATGTTCTGGAACCTTAAAGGTTCTACACTCACAGGTTCTGTCTCCAGTTGATGGAGTTTAGAGAAAATGCAGGCCCGTTATTTACAGCCAAGGCATTACAGGCCCTGGGCCCTGTGGCTTTCCCGTGTGCACCGTGGGGAGTCAGATGGTCCTCACATGTGTTATGGAGCCTGGGAAACTGTGCCTGTGAGCCCTGTCTCACCTACCCTGCCGTCTGTGCTTACACACAGCGTGCTGTGAAAGGGTGTGGACAGGTTACTGACTCCCAAGGTTAGCGCTCCCCTGGGCCATTCCCACTGGGTTGTTAGGCTTCTGTTGTCCGGTAGTGTCCATCAGAGTAGGACAGCGTTTGCTTCTCTCTCCTCCTTTCCCTTCCTCTTTCCTTGTTTCCTACCCTGGCTCAAGAAACTTCTCCCTTCCTCATAGCTTTGGCTCCTCTTCTGTCCTTTACTGTTATTTATATTTTTATGTTTATTTTATATTTATTGATGTGTGGTGTGGCTCTGTGCACCATGATGTGTGTGTAGAAGGCAGAGGACAGCTTGAGGCCATTGGCTCGCTCCTTTTATGTGGGTCTTGGGGATCAAACTCAGGATGTCAGACTTGGCAGGAAGCACCTTTACTTGCTAAGCTCCTACCCATGTGTCTCTCCCTCTCTCTTTTCCTCCCTCCCCTTCTTTGGAGACAGGACCTCAAATATCCCAGGCTAGCCCTACTATGTGCCACAGGCTGGTACTGAGCCTTTACTTCCTTTCTCAGTGTGAACCACCAGGCCTGGTGGATGTGGTACTGGGGATCTAGCCTGGGGCTTCATGCATGCTAAGCAGGCACTGTCCTAACTGAGCTACACCCCTGGCCCTGCTCTCCTTTTAGAGAAGAGATGTGGGATGACCCACAATCTCTAAAACTCTGTATCATCAGGGCTGTTTCATGTCTGCCTGAAGCCACATGCCTCTTCTCTTCTGCTCCTATTCAGATACCTGTCTGGTCCTGTGTGTGTGTGAGTGTGTGTGTGAGAGAGTATGTATATATGAATGAGTGTGTATGAGTGTGTGTATGTGAGTGTGTGTATGTGTGTGAGTGAGTGTGTGTATGTGAGTGTGTGTATGTGAAATGTGAGTTTATGTGTGTGTGTATGTGTGTGTGTGAATGTGTGTGTGTGAGTGTGTGAATGTGTGTATGTGTGTGTGAGTGAGTGTGTGTATGTGAATGTGTGTGAATGTGTGTATGTGTGTGTGAGAGAGTGTGTGTTGGAAGAGATCTATACTCATGGGCTGAGCTGTCTGTCTCAGAGGAGAGGAGGTGTGGGCACTGACTGGGTGGGGCAGGTGGTTCTCCCCTTCAAGAATACATCTGCCCATCAGTGGAGAATATGATCAGCAGAAGTGGGTTAAGGAACTGTCCAGCTTGATCCCTGAGCACAGTTCTTTCCCTCATCCACAGCTGAAAAAGATCGGGGGTGGGGGCTTTGGTGAGATCTACGAGGCCATGGATCTGCTGACAAGGGAGAATGTGGCCCTCAAGGTGGAATCAGCCCAGCAGCCTAAGCAGGTTCTCAAGATGGAGGTGGCTGTGCTCAAAAAGCTTCAAGGTACCACCCTGGGGCTGGGGCATGGGAAGGAAGAGGTGATGGAGCCAGGATCTAAGAAAATGGGGCCAGAGCTTAGGAGAGGGATGGAGAGCAATGAGGGAGTCTGTGGGGCCAACTGAGGCGGGTCATGGCTTACAGACAACAGTGGGGCCAGAGAAGGCAGAACTAGGGTGGGGGTTGTAGGCCCTTAAAGAGGCGTTCCTGGAACCAGGGCTGGGGAAGGATTCGAGAGTGTTCCAGAGGGATGGCTAAGTGGCTCCAAGGTTAAAACGCTTCAGATTCTTGTAACCCTCATAAGAGCTAGGTGGGCACGACATAGTGTGTGTGTGTGTGTGTGTGTGTGTGTGTGTGTGTGTGTGCCAACCTGCAAGGTAGCGTGTGTGTGTGTGTGTGTGTGTGTGTGTGTGTGTGTGTGTGTGGTGGGGCACGAGGAGGAAGGAATGGGACTTGGGAGGCCCTGTTTCTGTGCCCTGCAGGGAAGGACCACGTGTGCAGGTTCATTGGCTGTGGCCGGAACGAGAAGTTTAACTACGTGGTGATGCAGCTGCAGGTATGTCCCTGGGACCTGTCCTCCTACCTCTTTCCCCAGAGCTAGCGTGTGACTTGGGCGGAGCATGGGGAGGGGAGGTTTCTGTTTCTGATGCGATGGGTAGAGGTAGGCATAACCCTTTGGGGGCAAGGCTTGGTGGCCGTCACGGTGGCAGCTGGAAAGTTCCCCACCTATCCCATCTTGTCCATCTCGCCCACCCCACCCAGGGTCGGAACCTGGCTGACCTGCGCCGCAGCCAGCCGAGGGGTACTTTCACGCTAAGCACTACACTGCGGCTGGGCAAGCAGATCCTGGAGTCCATCGAAGCCATTCACTCCGTGGGCTTCCTGCACCGGGACATCAAGCCGGTGAGCGATGAGCCTGAGCCCTCCAGTGCCGGAGTCTGGCTGCTCCACTCTTGTTGCCGGAGCGTAGCTGCTCCGCTCCAGTGCCGGAGCCTCTTGTACTTGAGCATTTCTAGATCCACACTGAACCCCATCTCCTCTTTCTCACCTCTCGGCCATGCCAGGCCAAGTGCCTGGCTCTCATCTCTGCCCTCCATTCTGCATCTCTCGCCCATGACCCCATGTAGTCCCTCAGTCTAGAGGTGAGGAGGTCAGGAGAGGCCACCTGACTTTCTGTGGCATCTTGGATCTTGGTGCTAGAAAAATAAAGTACAGTCCTCTAACCTAAAGGGGTAAAGCTGGGTGAACGGCCTAAGAGCACACGGCAAGAAAAGGCACAGGGCAGCTGATTTTGAGCCAGGCAGCCATACCAATCCCCTCTGCCACTGTAGGGAGCTGAGGGTTTGGAGCAGGGTGGACAGGCACTCAAAGCCTGTTTTCACCAGTTCTGTGATTGAGGGGGCATCTCACCCCCTCAGCCTTTGACCCTCCCTTCCTGTGTCTCTATACTGAGGATAGCCATACCTGCTCTATTGCTGAGATGCGACAGCCGTCCTCCTATGAATGTGGGTGGATGTAAGATCCATGGGTGGGGGCGGCCCGTCAATGCTGGCACAGCAGTGTCTTAGTGGGTCTGGGGGTGCTGGACCCCAGTTCACAGCTGCTGTCTTCCCACAGTCCAACTTTGCCATGGGCCGGCTGCCTTCCACCTACAGAAAGTGCTACATGTTGGACTTTGGGCTGGCCCGGCAGTATACTAACACTACAGGGGACGTCCGGCCCGTGAGTACCACTAGGCATGAGGATGGTGGGGGCTCTAAGGATTCTCTGGTCTGGGAACACTTCACTGTTTTCCTTGTGGCTGCCTAAGCAGGCTTGGGTTCTTTTCAGTTATCAGTACATCCCACCCTGGGATGACAGTCTGGGCTCCTGGGTATCAGGATGAGGTGGGCAGTTAGTCTTGGTGGTGGGAGGGTTGACAGTGTGGCTGAGCTGTTGTCTCTTTTGCACAGCCTCGGAATGTGGCCGGGTTCCGGGGGACTGTTCGCTATGCCTCGGTCAATGCCCACAAGAACCGGGTGAGTGAGCGGCCTAGCCTGAGTTAAGGACTAAGGGCTGCAGGACAAAGTTGGGTATGAAGTGGGCCATGGATGTCGAGGTGGGGAGAAAAGAAAGGGGTGTGGGCTGCAGCCAGTCAGCCCCTGAAACTTGGAGTGGGAGGAAAGTGTCACCGCTGGCTTCCCGTGATGTCCTTCTCTTCTGGGCTCTCGTCATCTCTCTTCCCACTGAAAATCCCTGGTAAAGGGACAAAACATTCACAGAACCATTTACTGTGGTGTCTGCGTGCTGAGGTATAGGACGAGCCACAGTCAGAGAGATCCCAGCTTTGTCTGTCTGGGTCCGGGTGTCAGACGTCCCCAGAAAAGGGTCCACCACCCCTTCTCAGAGGAGGGTGTGAGAACTGCAGGTAACGCTCTTCGTACCTCTCAGGAGATGGGCCGCCACGATGACCTGTGGTCCCTCTTCTACATGTTGGTGGAGTTTGCAGTGGGCCAGCTACCTTGGAGGAAGATCAAGGACAAGGTGAGGCTCCCGCCGCTGGGTGGAAGAGACAGAGGGTAAAACAGCTGGGCCTCACCTGCTGTGTCTGTGTCCGCACCCCTCCAGGAGCAGGTGGGGATGATCAAGGAGAAGTACGAACACCGGATGCTGCTGAAGCACATGCCCTCGGAGTTCCATCTCTTTCTGGACCACATCGCCAGCCTTGACTACTTCACCAAGCCTGATTACCAGGTACCCCCAGCCTGGGGCACAACTGAGAAGCTTCAGGCTCCCAGCAGTGATGCACCCTTGTAGCCTGGCATACTTCAAGATTGCCCCTGTGTCTGTCCCCTTGATCTTCTACCTGTACCAAACTGTTTAAAGCAGTCTCTGCTCAGACTTTTCAAGAGTCGACCCTCCCCAGTATACGCAGTGTTCTTGTGTTATCACAGTCAAGCGTTTGAGGCAGGGGCATGGTCATACACACCTTTAATTCTAGCACTTGGGGCAGGGGGCAGATGTCTTTGTGAGTTTGAGGACAGACCAGCTGGGTGACATAATGAGACCCTGGGAGGGGAGTGACCATCATGTGTTTGAAAGCAGAACTCTGCGGGAAGTTAACTGGGATGTTTGTTCGTAGATGGGAAACTGAGGGTAGATAGACCTCGTGGTTAAGAGAAGGGCTGGGCTCAGAGACAGTGATGCATCCCTTGTTGACAGACCATCCTTAAAATGTCCCTGAATGCCATGTAAGAGTTCACTTCCCAAACCTGGACAGGACCTCCCCTTCATACCCCTGGTCCTACAGCATGGCAAACAAGATGAGATTAAGTAAAACTCAAGAGAAAAATGACCCAAGTAAGAGACCAGTAAACACAAGCCTCCCAAGCTGTAGCAGATTACAATGCTGGTGTTTTTGAGACAAGGTCTCTTGTAGACCAGCTGTCCTCAAACTCACTGTGTAGCTGAAGATGACCTTGAACTTCAGACCCTCCTGCCTCCACCTCCCAAATGCTGGGATTTAGGACACATGCCACCGTGCCCAGGGCCGTGCTGTGCCTGAGACTGAACCCAGGGCTTCCTGCATGGCAGACAAGCAGACATTCTACCAACATAGCCTCATAACCAACCTCAGTCAACTTTTTTTTTTTTTTTTAAGTAGAGGGTGTATGTTCTAAAATAGTGATTTAAAAACTAGTGTTGCCAGGTGTGGTGATACTCAGCTGTAGTCCCAGAGCCCATGAGGCAGAAGCAGTAAAATCATGAATTTGAGGTCAGCCTGGGCTGCACAGGGAGACCCTGTCTCAGTAACAACAACAACAAAGATCAGGGCTAGGAAAATGCTGCACTGGTCAACAGCGCATGCTGATCCTGCAGAGGACCCGAGTTCAGTGCCCAGCACCATGTCAGGAGTTTCACAACTACATACAAGCCCAGCTCCAGGGAACCTGACAGCATCTTCTGGCCCATGGCACCTGCATTCATATGTATACCCTCCACTCACATATACACATAATTAAAGAAAATAAACACACAACCCAAAGTCAAGCACATAGTGTTATGTACTACACATAATTGTGTGTCACATTGTGTATGTGACTGAGGGTGCCAGCATCACCGCACCCTGGAGGATGCTGTACAACAGTCACACCCTCATCAACATCACTGTGGGGAGGAATGCTTGCCTGACTCCAGGTCTAACCCTCCCCACAGCTCCGTCGCTACACTTCACGACACCTGTCGTTCTGTTTGGAGACTGTAGACACACATCATCAGTGTTTACCCAGAAACCGCTGTGCATGAGGCACAGTGGTGGCCACTGCAGGGACTCGGTGTCCGTCACGCAGTAGACACCAAAGCAAGTCTGGCTCTGAAGAGAGCCAGCCCAACCTTGAATGCCCTGGGCTGCTCAGAGGTTTTGTAGCCACTTGCTACCTCTTGAACCCAGCATCCCAGTTGCTGGTGAGCTGACACCCCACTTCTTGCCCTGGCTCAGCCTCATTGAGTCCCTTGGTCCACACAGTTACACACACCTACATACTAAAGCCCCGTGATGACTGCCAGAGGTGAAGAATGGGCAGAGGAGCATGGGGATAATGCAGAAGGAAGGCTCTGTGCCCAGTGATGAGGGGGAGCTGTATGGGAGGGTGAGGCAGGTGTCAGGGAGGACGGTGGGAAAGGCACCCCAACAGAGGCAGCAGCCTGCAGAGAGGCCTAAGACCATGAGGGAACCCAGTGGTTCAGGGCCACTGATGTGCCTGTTAAGATGACAGGAATGGCGGAAGAGTCTGGAGACTGTCCTCAGGGGACAGGTCTCAGGGGACTAGTGTCCATCTGGTGGGCTTAATCCAAGATGATCATTTGCATAGGGCTTTGTGCTATGTTTTCCTTTGAAACCCATGTGCCCTTCTCCTTCCAGTGCCCCCTCGAGGCCCGTCTCTGAGCCGGAAGTCCCCATCTTCCCCCCACTGCTATCCCAGCCATTGCCCCTTTCACTTGGCTAGCCCCGGGGTCACCTCTCTGTCCTCCTGCCACTCCCACCCCTGCAGTTGATCATGTCGGTGTTTGAGAACAGCATGAAGGAACGGGGCATTGCTGAGAATGAGGCCTTTGACTGGGAGAAGGCAGGCACTGATACCCTCCTGTCCACAAGCACCTCCACCCCACCCCAGCAGAACACCCGGCAGACAGCAGCCATGTTCGGGTGAGTCTGACGCCAGGAGACCAGCTCCTCTCATCCTCCTTGGACCCTGGTTGTGTCTTCATGCTGGGTCCTTGAGCTATCCCGTCACGGTCTGTGCTGAATCTGAGCTGGAGTGGGTATCTTCTTGGAGCTTTTTTGTTGTTTAATTTCAAGACAGGGTTTCTCTGCAGCCTTGGCTAGCCTGGGACTCGACCTGTAGACCAGGCTGACCTCAAACTCACAGAGATCCGCTTATGTCTGCCTCCCGAGTGCTGGGATTAAAGGTGTGCGCCACCACCACCCGGCTCATTTAGATCTTTTGACTAAGGAAGCGACTTGAGCTGCAGCCTCCCTTCCTCATTGTAGACAAACTTGTATATCTCACATCCAGATGCCATGGGGCTCAGAGGGACATTGACCCCTGCCTTCACAGGGCGTCGGCCAATGCTGGGAGGTGGCCAGTGATTTCAGAACAGTGTGAGGCACATGGAAGGGTGTCTGGGGGAGAATCCTGACTAAAGGGTCCCACCTCTACCAGTCAGGGTTCCCTAGGGAAACAAGACTTATAGAATGAATATATTTATTAAGATGGCTTATAGGCTGTGATCCAGCTAGTCCAACAACGGCTGTGTATCAATGGAAGGTCCAAGAATTCAGTCCACGAGGCTGGATGTCTCTGCTGGTCTTCAGTATACACTGAAGTAGGCTCTAAGGCTAGTGAAAGAATGAACTTGTCAGTGACAGCAAGAACAAGCAGGCAAAGGAGAGCAAGCTTCTGTCCTCCGTGTCCTTTATAAGGCTAAAGGCAGAAGGCATGGCTCAAATTAAAGGTGGATTTCTGACTTCGAAAGGTCTGGATTCAAGGTGGATCTTCTCACCTTAAAGATAGAGCCAGGTTAGAAGTGGGTCTTCCCACTTCACACGATTTAAGAACACCCCTCACAGGTGTGCCTGGCTGTTTAGGTTTTAGTTAAATGCAGACGTGGTCAAGTCGACAGCCAAGACTGGCCGTTGCACCACCTAATCCAGGGCCGCCTTTGGGAGGAAGATGTCACAGAAATTGCTGGCACACCACAGTGGCCCAGTTCTGTACTAAGGTTACTCGGAGAAGTGGGGCATGAGGGTACATATCTAATTGCAGGATGAGGCAGGAGGATTATAAGTTTGAGACTACCTTGGGCTACACAGGGAGACTTTGTTTTAAAAACAGAAAGAAGAGACTGGGGATGTGGCTCAGTGGATAAATCACCTGCAGGCCAAGTGTGAGGACCTGAGGCAGGGTCCACAGCGCCCACAGAAAGGAGACACAGTAGTGCACCCCTGGAATCTATGTGTCCCTGTGGCGAGACAGAAACCCCTGAACTTGCAGCTCAGCTAACCTGATGCACATGAGAACCTTACCTCAGTGGACCTGAGGGCCAGCTGGCCAGTCAGTCCAGCTGAAATGATGAGTTCCAGGTCCATTAAGAGACCCTGTCTCAAAACACAGGGTGAGGGCTAGGTGGAGTGGCACACACCTTTGATCCCAGTACTCAGGTGGCAGAGTCAGGCAGATCTCCGGGAATTTGAGACCAGCCTGGTTTACATAGCAAGTTCCAGACCAGGCAAGATGACATAGTAAGACACTCTCTCAAAAAAACAAAACAAAGAAATGAACAAAAACAAAAAACAAGGTGAAGAACCTTAGAGGAAGATATTCCCACACCAACCCTTGGCTCCACATGCATGCACACAGGTGAACACACACACACACACACACACACACACACACACACACGCCACAGCTGCGTCTCAAGGTGGAAGGAGAGCCAGCCACTAAGGTTGTCATCCAACCGCCACATGCATATGGTATCATGTACTCTTGTGTACACACAGAGATAAAAATAAACAACAAAAATAGAAAGAAAATGAAATGTCTTAAGGAGCTGACACATGGAACTTAAGAGAGGGCTCGGCAGTTAAGAACACTGGCTGCTCTTGCAGAGGACCTGGGTTAGATTCCCAGCATACACATGGTGGTTCACAGTTGTCTGTAACTCCAGACCAGGGGATCCAGCTCCCTCTTATGACTTTCTCAGGCACTGCACACACATGGTGTACAGACATACATGCAGGCAAAACACTCATACACAAAAAAGTAAATACATCTTTTTAAAAAGGTTTCTGGATAAGGAGTATATAGGGTCTTTTCAGACTTCTCTGGGGTCTGGAAGGAGCGAGGCACTGCCAGTGGACTGCAGCAAGGGCTGGGAAACCCACAAGTCCCCTAAAAAGGAGGGGCTCAGTGGGGATGTGCCAGTCCCTGCCAGTGTGACGATGGTCTGGTCTCAGAGGCCTGTGGGTCAAGGATGGCAATGGAGTGTCCACTCTGGAGATTTCCCCAGGGCCTGTGCTGGCAGGAAGTTAAGGAGACAAGAGGACGTCCCTTCCAGTCTGACCCATGACTCTCCTGCTCTCCCCAGAGTGGTCAATGTGACACCAGTACCAGGGGACCTGCTTCGCGAGAACACTGAGGACGTGCTCCAGGGCGAGCACCTGAGTGACCAGGAGAATGCACCCCCGATCCTGCCTGGGAGGCCTCCAGAGGGCTTGGGCCCTGGTCCCCACCTTGTCCCCCACACTGGGGGTCCTGAGGCTGAAGTGTGGGAGGAGACAGATGTCAACCGCAACAAACTGCGCATCAACATCGGCAAAGTAATTGCATCCAGGCAGAAGGGTGTGGGTAGCCATCCCCATCTGGGTTCCCAGCCCTTGGCCCTGTCCTTCCAACCTGCCACCAACCTGCCTCGTGTCTCTTTTAAACGTGAGAAAGCCTCCGACCCATAACCAGCTTGTGAACCCCAACTCACAGTATCCTCTCTTCTACAGACCCCTTGTGTGGAGGAAGAGCAGAGTCGAGGAGTAGGGGTTCCCAGTTCCCCAGTGCGTGCCCCCCCAGACTCCCCAACAACCCCAGTACGGTCTCTACGCTACCGGAGGGTCAACAGCCCAGAGTCAGAGAGACTATCTACAGCAGCTGATGGGCGGGCAGACCTGCATGAGAGGAGGTGAGTTTGTAGACAGGGCTCGGGTGACAGAGGCCTTCTGGTCCCGTCTGCCCTCATCAGTGTGGCTGGTTTGTGGAAGGTCATCTATGAAGCAGTAGTTGGGTAACTCTAGAAAGCATGGTGAAGGCTGCGCTTGACCTGGGGTCAGTTGGTGGCCTCTGGTAGGACATCCATGGAGGAAAGAATGGGACAGGCCAGTGTCTGGACCCAGGTCGTGGTTCTGCATGACGTTTTCCTAGACAACAATTCACAGGTGCCCGAAGAGCAGTAGAGGCGGGCTTCCTTTGACCTGCAGGCAGAGAGCCTGAGAGAAGTTTAAGGGACTGCTGGTGGTAGGGTGAGACAGATTTGGGGGCCTAAGAGGTATGAATTGAGAGTAGAGGGACCCAGCAGGAACCTGGTTGGTGAGAGGAAGGGTTGCAGGGGGTGCTGAGGGAATTGGCTTTTGGAAGGTGGGAGGAGGTAAATTGGCTGTGGGTGGGTGTAGCTGGCAAGGGTTAGCCAGGCCACCACCTGAGTGGATGGGACACCAGGTGAGGGGCTCCTGGAAGATGGAAGTCACTGATTTTCCTTAGCTTCTGAGGACCTTTGCTCCAAAGTAGACCAGGGCCTTCTCTGCACTGGAAAGAGAAAAGAAGCTCTTGGCCCTGAAGGAAGAGGGCATCCTTTCTGATACCCACTCAGTATCTTTCCTGATGACCCACACCAGCCATGGCCCCTCCCCTGGACCTTGCCCTAAACTGTCCCAATCTTCCAGATCGGACACAGTGCCAGTTTGGGGGCTAGACAAACCCAAGACAGGTCTGGGTCCCTCCGTGTGTGACAGCATACACTCGCTTACCTGGGCAGTCCTGCCAGGCACCACCAGAGACCTCATCTTCACCCGTGGCAGCATGGAGCCCTATGGACACGGAGAAGTAAGGAAAGGACATGAGTGGAGACCAGAGGGCAAGTGTCCTGAGTTTGGAAGAGCTACTGGCTCGGGAGCAGTCGGGGAAACACTGGCAGTTTCCCCCGAGACTGGCAGGAAGGGGTGGGTGAAGAGAGTTTCTGCTACAGAAGGTTCAGGATGCCGCCATAGGGAAGGAGTAGGATGGCTTGGTGGCACTTGGGGCACGAGAGCAGATAAGGCTGGGGTGTCCCAGTTCTCACCCTTGTCTTCTAGACACACAGGAACACACACGTGCAGAGCTCACCTCCTGTTTTGTTACCTCTGTCCTTCCTTTCCCTCAGAACAAACTGTGCTCTCAGGGAATGTGAGCATCCATGTACAGGGAGTCCCAGGGCGGCCTCTGTCAATGATGTTTTATTTTAAGCCTTACTAACAAATCGATACAAATACGGTGTAGAATGGGTTAGGCGGTGGCCATGCAGGCAGGGCGTGGTCTTTTAGAAAGGCTAATGGGAGTTCTGCTCCACGCATCTTCCCTCTGCAGAGGAGTCACTGACCCCACATGAGTTAGGCCTGGTGCTTTTCTTGGTGTTCTGGGGCCAACACTTCCTCCTTATGTATCATCTTCCTTTACCGCACACAACCACACGGTATAAGAGACACCTCCCTTTGGGGCTGCTGCCACACCGAACAGAGACCTTCTGAGTGCTGATGGAGAGTCAGAGGCACAGTTCAGGATGATGACACAAGTCCCAGCAGGATCTGTGCCCTGAGTTTAGACATTAGAGGAACCCAGGCCCTGCCAGGTGAAGGCCACAGTCTATCTGTAAGGAAGACAGATATACCAGCCGGTCTGAGGTCCATGGTGTGGTGGGGGCTCAGGGTGCCTTGTGGGGACAAGTAACTGTCCGTGTAGGGAGGAGGGGCTCACCACAGGAAGTTCTTCAGAGTAAGGTCAGAGAAGAGGATGGAGGCACAGGCCTTTGGGGTGAGGGTGGACTGATAAAGAAAAGTGAGTGAGGCCGGGCGGTGACACACGCCTTTAATCCCAGCACTTGGGAGGCAGAGGCAGGTGGATCTCTGTGAGTTCGAGGCCAGCCTGGTCTACAAGAGTTAGTTCCAGGACAGGCTCCAAAGCTAGAAAAGCGAGTGAATCTGACAGGCCTGGCTAGGGAAAGAGCAAAACGGTTAGGTTGAAAGGCTCTGGGTACAGGCTAAGGAATGCAGACTCAGGCTTGTTGCTAGGGACTTCAAGGCCCAGCCTGCTGGGGTTATAAAGTGCCAGCTGGGCAGGACCGGAGGGTGTCAGAAGTGGAGCTCGGAGCCATCTGTAAACTCAGGTGTCAGGGTACATTTGCCCTGGGTGCAGCAGGAGAGAACCACAGATGGAGCGTAAGTACCTGCTGAGTGTTGGAAAGGCTGGATTCCCCAGAGTAGCCCAGAGGAGATGGATGGGTTCGTTTTCTGCACGCTCATCTTCCTGGAAGATGGTAAGCATTAAGGAATATTTATTTGTTAATGAATGACAGGTGGATAGGTAAGTGAAGTGTTTCTAGAAAGTGATGTTGATGGAGTCACACTCTTGATGTGACTGCCACTGGCTTGATGTCCTCGGGGCTTCAGAGGCCAGCACTGAGCTCCCTTCGGGTGACTCTTGCAGGTCACGGATGGATTTGCCTGGGTCACCCTCACGACAGGCCTGCTCCTCACAGCCAGCTCAGATGTTGTCAGTGGACACAGGCCATGCGGACAGGCAGGCCAGCGGCCGCATGGACGTGTCAGCCTCCGTGGAGCAGGAGGCCCTGAGCAACGCCTTCCGCTCGGTGCCGCTGGCTGAGGAGGAAGACTTTGACAGCAAGGAATGGGTTATTATTGACAAAGAGACAGAGCTCAAGGACTTCCCTCCTGGGGCCGAGCCGAGCACGTCAGGTACCACGGATGAGGAGCCCGAGGAGCTGCGGCCTTTGCCTGAGGAGGGTGAGGAAAGGAGACGCCTAGGGACAGAGCCCACTGTCAGGCCCCGAGGACGTGGCATGCAGACGCTGGCAGAGGAGGACCTGCGGCAGGTGCTGCCTCAGCCTGCACCACCTCAGCTGAGCCAGGCTGATGGCCGTTCAGAGACATCCCAGCCACCCACGCCTGGCAGCCTTTCCCACTCTCCCCTGCACTCGGGACCCCGCCCTCGACGGAGAGAGTCGGACCCCACGGGCCCTCAGAGACAGGTAAGACTTGTGTATGACTCTCCTATCCTGAGACCCCCTAGAGCTGTGCAGGCAGGCCTAGTGTGTTCCACTGTAGCCCCTCTGGCCTAGGAACCCAGCAGTGACAGGGCCATGGTGGAGACAGACAGGTGTATGTGGGGACAGACAGGGCTTAAGTTGTGGGCTAAGTCTTATGAGTCCAGCTAGGTGACAAAGCAGGCGAAAGGCCTCCGGGGCCCCAAGGAGAGCATACACAGATCTTGTGGTGGCAGTCTTCGCACAGTACTGACGAGGGTGGGAAGCAGGGCCTAGGGTAACTCATCGAAGGCTTTTAAATAGGAGTATGACACTGTGGTGGCTTTGAGACTTTTGAGATCCCTTGGGCGACTTTGTAGTAAGTGAATTGAAAGGGTAAAGATTTAGAAGCAGGAAGGCCAATGTCTTTAGTAGCCAGAGTACCCTGGTGGCCTGGGCCAGGAAGTAGACTGTGACATGGGGCAAGGCCGATGGAAGGAAGGGCTATGGTGAAGGGCAGGTTGCGGGGTGGAAATACCTCACCAGATGCCTGGGACTCTGAGGGCATGTGTGTGGGTTCAGACTGGACGCAGTCATCTCTCGCTAGCTGAAGGATGGCCATGTTGTGTAATCCATTGCTCAGGAAAGAGATGTCACCTGGTCTCATAGGAACCATGGGAGTGGGTGCCGGTACCCAAGAGAACCATGCAGGAGAGGGAGGTCCAAGAGTTGGGGCAGAAACTAAGAAATGCTCTTAGATGCACACAGAGGGACGAGAGAGAGAGGAGTCCTTAATCCTGACCAGGAGGGACCAGAGCAGGGAGAAGAAATAGGGAGAGAGTTGAGCAAAACCAGGGTGGGAGAGCACTGACGGCAGCCCATCGTTCCCAGCCAGGGGATGCTCCAGGGAGGGAAGTGTGATCAAAGCCCTGGGTTCAGTTCCCAGGGCCATATAAAACTAGGGTGTCAGTGTATACTTCTGTAATTCCAGGACTTGGGCAGGTAGAGCAGGAAGACTGGAAGGTTAGGGTCATCCTAAGCGAGCTCACAAGAATAGGCATGCTGGGAGCCCTGTCTGGCTGCAGTGGCGCCTCCTCCTCTAGGTGTTTTGAGGCGGGGTCCCACCGTGTAGGCCAGGCTGGTTTCCAGTCCTTTGCACGGTCTTCAGCATGTGTATGAGCTTACGGGCCTGCACAATTGTACCTAGTGTAGATGAACAGATTGAAGAAGTATGGAGAGAGAAAGGATTTGGAAATGCTGATCTGGGGATCGGAAGCATGCCTCACTGTGGTAATGGTGGGGCGTGAGTGTGTGTGTGTGTGTGTCCTCCTAAGGACACCCTGTCAGAACAGGATTGTGAAGCCACTGTCCTGGCCAAGCTCCTCTATGTGGGATGCCCGCTGACCTCTGACTGAGAAGTGACTGTCAGCTCTTGCACTGCCTCAGAGCCTGCAGCTTGTTCCACTTGTGATCTAATGATGGGGCTGTGTGTGGTGCCTGGGTGTAGCCCAGGAGCCGGCTTTGACACTCACTCAGGTTGGGATGGCTGGGCGGACAGGGCAGCTCTGGTCATGCCAGGAGGACTTTTCTATAAGTGATTCTTTGATCCCCAATCCCAGAGAATATCTATCTGGTCTTGCCTTGTACCCGTATATAGTAATGCGAAACTGGGGACCATGAGTCTCCACCCACAGAGGCCCTAGCTCCCTGATGTGGAGGCTTCACCCTGGCAGTACGCGGGCTGCTAGGACTCAGCCACGACCACTGTTCCCACAAATGGCTCTGGGGAAAGTGGGGGCAAACAAGATGTTCTCAGAACGTCTCACGCCCTGTTCTCCCTCATCAGCACCCCAAACCGAAGGGACTGGCACAATGGGTGGGGTCCCCAGGAAATGTCAACTTGGGAAAAGGTCATAGACAGTGGTCCTGGAGTGGAAGGAAACACAGATAAAAGTCGGCTTTCTGTTCTGTTGTTCCTTCCTGGTCACTGTGAGCCAGCCACTGATTCCTTCCGGTCTCAGAACAAGAGGACCAGGAATCCTTGCAGGTTGCTTTCTCCTGCAGATATTGTGCGCATCCTAGGTATCGTGCTAATGCTGGGGACTCTTTCAGAACCAGCGACAGGCCTGCTGTGCAGTCATGGTGTATGACATGGACAGGAAGTGAACTGTTTCTGTGGGGAAGAGAGGTGTTTGCCAGTCTCGGTTTCCCCATACTATGCAGAATTGAGGTGCCTTAACATTCTACGACTACGTGTGTCTTTTTCTGAGCCCCCTGATCTTGAGTGTGCTTTGACGTGTGGATGTGGACATATGTGCACACATCACTGTCTCTGGAACCAGAGCAGGGAAGATGACAGAAACGGTGATGATGGCAGCCAGCACGGCACACTGCAAGATGCACATGCAGATTTATGTGACTGGTCCAGTATACATGGTGACCTTGACTTATCAGGTGGGGAAACAGCCTCAAAGCAGTAACCTACAATAAACAAGCAAGCTTTCTGGCCTTCCAATGGTAGAGCCGGGACACAACACCAGGCAGTTGGGTCAGCGTTTCTGTTGGGAACCTGATCTAAGGCATGTGTGTCGAACATGCAGAGTAGCAATGCAGGTCAGAGAAGCAGACGGTCTGCACAGGGTCAGAATGCCTGGAGCAGTCCAGTGTGTGTGTGTGCGCGTGCACACGGCTGGCACTCCAGCTGGCTAGGCTCATTGGCAGATGTGCCCGCAGGCATGCAGTGTCTTTGGTTGCCTATGGGTGAAACAGATGGGACAGGACATGTTCTGTGTGTATTTCAGGACACCAGGGTGAGGTAAAACCTTTGTTCTCTGAGGCAGAGGGAACAAACCGGACTGGCGTGTGTTCACTTCGTTGTTGTTGGGGGGCATGCTTTGGGCTAGGCTGGGGATGTATGCTTTGTTACACATTGTGGTAAACCTGTGGGAGTCTTCCCTATTCCTGGATTCTCCGAGGAATCCCTCCGAGACCTGGTGTCGCACATTCAGAGTCGGATGTGTGAACTGTCCCTGTAGAAGTCATATTACCGCACACACACAGTAACCTGTCACCAACAGCCGTGGGAGCAGATGGGGAGCTAGGCACTGAGTTGTCCCTTGGTGCGCATAGTGTGGCTATGTGAACACCTGGCTCCCTTCTCAGGGGGTGGTTCAGGTGCAAATTGGCAGGAGCCAAGGAGACAGCTCAGCTTGGGCAAAGTTTGTGTCTTGGCTAGATGTCTGAGGTCAACAGCACAGCACATTAACACTCCTTACACATATAGACATGTGCTGGAAAGCCACCAAACACTACTGTGTTACAAGCTGGACAGCGTACTGGGCCTGGGGGACAAGGATTAGCAAGGCCTCATTCTCAGCCCTCGGGTCAGAGCTTGCAGTCAAGAGGAGTGGGCTGGGAGGACAGGCGGGAAGATAGGCACTTACAATCAGGGCCATCAGGAGGATGAAGAACTTTTGTCTGCTCTAGGGCCTTGTGGGGGGAAGCTAGGATGTGCTCACAAAGGTGACTTCATAGGGGTATTGAGGACAAATGGGTGGTCACAGTGAGCCTACAGCAGAGAGCATGCTGGGATCCAGCTCCAGCTTCTAAGACCTCTTTGATGGAGAACAAACTCTGATATTGTACTCAAGGCCCCTCATGTGCTCTGAGAGCGGCTGTGGGCGCCTTAGCTCTCTCTCACTGCAAACTAGAAAATAAGGAGCCCAAACTTGGCCCCCAGAGAAGCTGACAGAGGGAGCAGACTGGTGTGGGGTGGAGCAGATGATGAAGTTAGAATGTTAACCTTGCCTCCTCGCTGACGGAGGTCTCTTGTGACCGCCTCCCGGCTGACATCAGCAAGGCATACCGGAGCAGGGTAGCTACAGCCCCTTTCCCTGGGGTCTCCTCCATCACTCAGTCCTCAGAGCCACCAAGAGTGCCAGGGGTAAGGAGAGGCAAAGTCTGTGGACACCAGGCCACCATGCCCATTCCTGTGTGCCTGGAACATGTTCCCTGTCCCCCTGGAGACAGGAGGCACAGAGATAGGGTTCCTATGGCCACCACCAACTTTGTAGCTGCCCTATCCCAGCTCAGCAAACTCGGGGGCTGCCATTCTGAGGACTGTCTTCTATGGGCTCCTGAACACGCAGTCTCTCACTGCTGTAAGTGCCCTGCATATCTGGTCCTCAAAGCCTCGGAGGTGGCAGCCACTTTGACTCCATCTTACAGGGGAAGAGCTTGAGGCACAGAGAACTGAGGTCAAGGGTCACCCAGCTGTAAGTGACAGAATTGGGGTTAAGACATCTTTGGGTTGATGCCTCGTGTATGTCATGCTGCTTCCTGGAAGGCAGACCCAGGAGGAGTACTAAGAGTTAGAGGCCAGCCTGGGCTAAATAGTGCGTTTTAGGCTAGTGTGGGCTACAGAATGAGACCCTATCTCAAAAACAAAACAAAAAACCAAAAAGCTTTCCTGGTAGAGATTTTGCCTAGCAAGTACAGGGCCCTGGGTTCGGTCCCCAGAACTGCAAAACAAACTAAACACTCTCTTGACTTCTTGCAAATAAGACGTTGAGTATTTGGACTCCAGAGTCCACCCACACTGTCCCTGAGAACCCGACACCTCCCATAAGGAGGCTGAGAGTAACAAGGAGGGAGTAGCAGCTGTTTTAAATCTCCTGAGGAGGGCTGGGGGTCATAGCTCATTGACAAAGCACTTGCTTAGCAAGCAGGAGACCCCGACTGAAGCTCCAGCACTGCAAATATGTTAAAAATGATCTGGAGGAATGTGGAGTGTGGTTAGGTTAGCGGCCTGGCCCTTTGGTGGGGGCTTGACTAAAAGACGCAACAAAAGGGCCTTCCTGACAGGAAGGTTCGAGCCCAGTGGGAGCCCAGTGCTAGATGGGACTAAGCCCAGAAGGCTTCCGGAAGGAGGTGAGAGACCGAGGTTTCTCACCCAGAGACCGCGCTGTGAGAGGAGGAGGTGGGCAGGGCGCTGGCAGTTCCGAGGCTGGACCTTGGGTGGGCAGCCTGCAGCCCCCTCCTCCAGCGCCATCCGCCCCCTGCCAGGGACGCCGGTGCCGCAGGGGCTGTGAGCGGTGGGTGGCCCCCCGAGAAGAGCTGTCCAGTCTGTGCCTGATGCCTCTTTTTCCTCCACTCTCTTGGTCTCTTTCAGTTGGAGGAGGACAGACTCTCGGGGCACTCCCTCCCGCGGTACAGCCCCCTGCGACGACTGGCGTCCTCCGTGTTCTCCTCCTCCACGCTGGAGACGGAGCACTACCCTCACCCCGGCGGCGGCGGCTCCTCGGGCTCCTCCGGTTCCCTCATTCAGCGCAGCCGCTCGGCCGAGAGCAGCCCCGTGCGTGCTCCCCATCGGCGCCACGCGCCCCTGGCCGCCGGCAACCACAGACTCGTGCCCTCGGTGCTCCGCATCTCGCGGTCCCAGCTGCAGCAGGTGTGGGCACGGTTCACCCACAAGACCTAGGCTGGGCCCCCCCCCTCCTGGAGGGGGCAGGTGGGGGGGGGGCTGGGGAGCAGACAGAGACCATGGTTCCTTCCCAGGACGCAATAATCACAGGCCACACAGCCCATCCCACCCACGTGCAATACGCTCCCTAGAAGGTCGGCCCGAGATACTGTAAAACTCCCGCCCCACCAGAGGCTCTGTCCCCAGAGTCTCGGTCCCGGGTGGGCTCCTTTGCTAGGGGCCAGACAAAATGGTGCAGGGAGGGGTGGTGTGCTGGCGCAGCTGGACAGGACGGGGGCTCTGAGATGGAGCAACCAGCGGCTCCAGAGTCCAGGGGAAACCAAGATGTGGGGGAGCTGAGGGGCAATCTGGCTGTGGGGTCAGGTTCTGTTTACTCTGTGTCTTGGCCGGTCTGGGTCGGATCCACCCCTAAGGGGTTGGCTGGAGTCGAACCTTAGCAGAGGTGCGCCTGCGTCTGTTTAGTTGACCTGGAATAGGAATGTGATGGAGGCTGGTCAAACCCAGCTTGGGGTGTGGTGGGGAAATGTCTGTACTCAGTGATGGAGAGTGGACAGCCCTGCGACCTAGTGAACATTTCCCATGGCAACACCACCAAGTCAGAGTCCCTCCCTTTTCTTCCACATCTTACCCCACAGGCGCAGGCTGGGTTCATGGTCACCACGGCATCCCCAAGACCCCATGTGTCGCTCCCCGAGAGACTTGACTGCCCTGTCCTCACTGGGCATGGATAGAGGGGTTCCCAGCGACCTGCAGGCAATATGGAGAATGGGGTAAAGGAGATTGTAGGCACTGGGACATCTCTCAGAACAGATCCCAGACAGACAGCTCAGGTCTGCCACTCTCAGAGGTGTGGTGCAGACTGGACACAAGGTAGGCAGCCAGAAGGGGACCTAGACACTCCTGGGCAAGTACCCTACTGTCCCCTTTGTATACTCCTCAGTTCCCCAGCCTGTCACTGCAGGGACCCCACCTTTTCCCATCTTCATTCCTGCCCACGGCAGCCAGCGAGGCTTAGGGAATGGCAGTGAGGAGGCTGCCAGAAAGGGTAATGCCTGGCTGGGGAGGAGAGGAGGCTAAGGAGTTTGCAGACCATGTTTGCAGGGATACATGTACCCATGTGAGTGTGCTAATCCATGCGTGTGCACACAGCAGGGCTGTCGGGTGAATGCTCAGGCTGTGTCGTGCACAATTCCAGAGAATGCTATTTACATAGATCCTGGTATGACCAGCACCTACTGAAGTTACACGGTGCTGCAGCTGTGCGTGCGTGCGTGTGTGCGCGCGTGTGTGCCTGTGTGTGTAGTGTGTGCGCATGTGCATGTGTGCCTGCGTGTGTGTGGACGCACGTGTGTGCCTGTGTGTGTAGTGTGTGTGTGCCTGCGTGTGTGTAGGTGTGTGTAGTGTGTATATGTGTGTGTGCGTGTGTGTAGGTGTGTGTAGTGTGTATATGTGTGTGTGCGTGTGTGTGTCCTTGGTAGCTTCCTAGGTCTTGCTTCTGCTCTGCTCTTCTCTTTATGTATTTTCTTTCTGACCGTTTTTTCCCAACTGTGTGGCCCATCAATTTCCTTAAATACCCCTGATTTTAGTAGCGGTCTTAGGGCCCCTGAACCAATATGGGGACACTTCAATCTAGTGGGCGGTGGCCAGGAGTCGAACTCTCCATGTATGCACATGGCCAGCATTGTGCTGTGGCTCAGCAGCCTGAGAGTGGTTCCTACAGTTTTAAACACTAATGCCTGTGCCAAGAGCATCTTTTCCATGTAGCAACCAAACCAGACCCTAGTTCTAATTATATGTCTTCCTCAAGCCAGGCTGCTCACTTTTCAATGTCCGCAATCCCAGGGCTCTCTTGTCCTCTTGGCTCTTCTGGATGGCTTTGCCTTCTGCCCAGGCAGGAGTTGGGGGAGGGAGTCCAGGGAGACTCCTAGAGAAAGAACTGAAACACAAAGCACAAGGGAGGGGGCGGGGCTACACAGCAGCCCCTCTCTGCTTCCAGCACTGCTTCCCCCTCCCCTTAACCTTTGCGCTCCACACCACCCTCCCCCACCCCCGTGATGGCAGGGGTTCTCTTCGTTAGCACTGGGATTTCATGGCACCAAGTACTTTGCTATCTGGCATTCCTTTCCAGAGGGCTCCACCACCAGACCTGAACAGTTTCACCTCAGTGACTGGAATTGTCCCTGAGGTGTTTCAAGATCCCCAAGTGCCTTAAGGCTTATCAAAGATAATGGCTTGACTTGAGTCTCAGTTTTAGCATTATATAACATATAACTGTTTCCCAAGCTTCTAGGGATGGGGATCTGTCCCCGTCTCTCAGTCACAAAGGACAACATTTGTAGGAAGGCAGGTGTCCTTGAAAGCCAGGCCACCATTCAAAATGTCTGGCCCTCCAGAAGGCATCCTTGTGAACTGGCCTCTGTGGTGGAGGACTTTGTAAGCTCGCTAGCGGTGATCTTGATAGAGCTGTGTTTGGGGCGGGGCTGCTCTGACCTGTGTTAGTTAGAACAGGGTCGTGTGGAACGGGGTGGAGGGCTGCACGGTCTGGGGCCAAGTCTCTGGGTCCCATGCATGGAGGGACGAGCTGAGAGCCTATAGCGGTGTCAGACCCTTTCCTTCTGTAGAATTTCCCGGAGTGTTGGAAAAGTGAGTGTCCGCTGGGGGTCGGACACAGCTTCTCCAACGCCAGCTTTGCCAGTGGGCAGCACCCTGGGCACGCTCAGAGCGTCGTGTTTTCGCACTCACACCCTGCACACAGTGTGTCTGCGGGCATTTTGTAGTTGATCTCGTCGTCACACAGCGCTTCCCACGTGCCAGGCCATGATCTGAGCACTTGACAAAATTAACTCACTTGAACCCCATACTTAACCTAGGAGATAGATCCCAGTGTTACCGCCTTTAATGGATTAATCATATATTCCCTTTACAGGAACATAAATTAATAGAAAAGCCACCTGATGCTGAGTAACTGAGCTCTCGTTCCCTGGGAAGCTTTAGCTATTTTAGTCTGGATGTCGTTTTCCTGCTGATCCCCTCGGCATCTTTCCTTCCTTCCCAGTCACACCTGTTATGGAACCGCATTCAGCTCTGAAGCAGCCCAGAGCAGCAGGCTCCATTGGCTAGACTCTGTCTTCATCCCACGACCACCATTGATCTCACATTGCCCAAGAGCTGGATAGCAGCACTGAGGATTAGGTGGGCAGACTAAGATACCGTAAGAACCCCGACTTTAGTCCCGCTGGAGGGGCGCTAGGGGTCAGGCATCACTCGCTGAGTACAGACAGGGGACTCACACAGGAGGCCAAACAGTGGCAGTAAATTTACCATAAATCAAACTCCCACCCTCCGCAGCTCAACCAGCTGTTGTCACTGTCTTCCAATCTTTGTGACCTCTCCAGCTATTGCGCGCGCGCACACACACACACACACACACACACACACACACACACACACGGCAGTTTCTGGGAAGAGAGAGCGGGTGACCTAACTCTGAGAACTCCCCACTGCAACCTCTGTCCAGGATCGCAGCTCTCAAAGCAACTCAAGCCAGGCAGCTGCTTAGAAAGGTAGCTGCTAGTGGGGCGTGGTGGTGGTGGTGGTGGTGTGTGCATGCGTGCTTGCGTGTGTGTGTGTGTGTGTGTGTGTGTGCTAGTGTGCATGTTGCCGTGGTGAACTCTGTGTGTGGAGCCATTGGATTTTTTCATTGTGAGTGAAGTAGATAGGGCCAGTATTTTCTAAATGGGAGAGGGTGTGTCCTGAGGACTGTAGGTCAGTGAAAAATACTATATTAAATTCTTCGTAATTAATATTTACCCCATACACTCAAGGCAGCTTGGGTCACAGCAATAACCACTCAGCATCCAGCCCAACACTAACCCTGAGCCTAATAATCTCTCTCCTCATTTCTAGTTAGAGGGAAAACAGACCCAGTTCTTCTCAGTGGGTTGTAGGGTGGCACCTCTGAGCCAGCCTGGGCCCAGCACCCTCCTTCCTACCTCTGTCCTCTGCCCTGTCTTGGTCTCTTTCTGGGGCAGGGCGGTGCTGTCTGTTCAGGCAGGGGTGGGGGAGCCTGGGCCTTTGAGGATAGAAGAAGCTGTCAGTTGTTAATGGGTGGTTTGGGGAGAAACCATGCTTGGGGAAGATGCGGCTCCCATTGGAGGTTGGGGAGCTCTGTTGAGGCTGGGGACACAGAGGATTGTTCTCTGTTGTCCTTAGTTGATATGGCAATTGGGGTGCAAATGTAGACATCTAAGGGTAATTTCTGCTGTACCTCAAACTCCACTTAGATACGACACAGTCCTAACTGCAGGGCAGGAGCCATGCCCACCCCATACCATCTGACATTTAAGGTATCCTTCTCCCTAAGGGAGAGGCCCCAAGGCTGAGGACCAGCTCCCTCAGATAACCCCACACATACTCAGTGGACTTCCCAACCTGGGAGGCCCCTGAGCCCACCTAAGAAGAGGTGGGGGAAGGAATTGGGGTACCTTCCTTAGCCCTCTCCTTTCCCTGGGTTTTCCTTCACTCCACCACTTGCCCTCGGATCCTGCACAGGCTGTCGGTGGGGAAAATGACCACCCACGCACACGCACACGCACGCTCACACTCCGCAGCCTCGCGTACACTTCACCCACTCTCCGGACAGCAAACTTAGCAGCCCCGACCCGGAGCACACCCGAACCCCTGTTGCGGATTTCTAACTGTAAGGGACGTCTGTTGCCCGCTCCAGCACTGTCCCCGCCCCGGGGCCCGTCTTCCCACCCACCCCACCCCAACCCCTGCAGCCGCGCCGCACCTCGAATGTACGTTCGGTCTTTTTAACCAGCTGCTACTTGGCGTGCCCCAGGTACCTCCGGCCTCGGAGTCCCCACCCCGCCCCGCGCCCCGCCTGGCCGGGACCCCAGCTGGTCTCCGCCCCGCCAAGCTGCCTGCTAAAATTCTTCTCTTGGGTTAGCACCCCCGCCGTCCGC